AACTAGGGATGCATAATATATCAATATTGGTATGATATGTAAAACTGGGCCAATATTAACGYCCGATATTGATTTGACAACGTTTAGCTTTGTGTTTCTGTTTTGGGAGRRGAGATGKTTGGTTGAGCAGCATCTGTTTGATCATGATAGTGATACTGCAGCTGCAGAGCCAGGAATAACTGAAGTAGAGCCATGTCAGAGGTCTGGTTGTTTTTTTACGGTATCAAAAAAAGACCCAAGCGTGCTTGTATGTATATGTATAATATAGTTTGTGCGTTTGTGTAATATCGGTAAATATCGGTTATCCGCCATAACAGCAATAATTATATTGGATATCGATATCAGCTGAAATTTTCATATCGGTGCATCCCTAGTATTAACGTGTATGAAAGTTGTCAGCAGTAATCATTTCTGAGTTCTGGACCTTCAGGATGATATCAGGCCTGGAAGCTTCAGCTGGCAGGGGCAGTGCATCCCCTCTCATCGCCTGCGTGTGAAGACGATACCTCAGATATCCCCCATAAGACGAGACCTGCAGAAACACAGAGACGTGAGAAGTACATTTAAAGTAAACAGGAAGGAAAAAATCCGCAACTAAAAACAGAAATCGGTGAAGGATAAACAGTTTATCTCTTTTCATTCCTCAGTTTATGATGATAAATGCTGCCTTTTGGGTCAAATTGTGAAAACAATAAGCCTAACGTCATGTAAAGCCTGGATTAGTTTTACCTAGGGACCCCATGCTATTTGTAATTGCAGAGATTGCCTGTGTTGTCGATCTCATGCGAATCAGCCATATCATGCATTTACCTGCTATATTTCACTGAACTCTGAGGTCCTGTGATAACACTAATCCAATGTGACTTGGCATCTCTGTGATTTGATAAGGAATGAGCTGAATCCCATATAATTACGTGTTTTTTTCTTTCTTGGGTGCATTTTATTTGCTTTTGGTGAAGAATGGATGCTGGACTGGAGTGCACTGAAAATCTGTGGGCCGACAAAACCCTACCGACCCGTAATATATGGCATCAAAAAGAATAGGCCGAAGAGAAGGAGCAAAATCAGATGCAAATGGTGGCTCACATGACCTGCACTGTGTGGTAAAAATATACATTTTTCTGTTTGTAGCCAGAACACTTTATAACTTATGAAATGTTGTAAACCTGTTGGAACGATGTGTGGCTGTTGCAGAGTCATCACATCCAGGAGATGTTCGTAAATCTCAGTAAAACTCAGTGAAAAGTAGGGGAGGCTGTAGTGTAGTGGTAGAGCAGCCGGCTTTGGGACCCGCAAGTCACAGATTCGACTCCCCGCCATGCCCACATGCTGTTGTGTCCTTGGGCGAGACACTTCACCCGCCTTGCCTTCTGATGGTGGTCAGAGGGTCCGGTGGCGCCTGTGTATGGCAGCCTCACCTCTGTCAGTGYGCMCCAGGGCAGCTGTGGCTACAATGTAGTTTGCCATCATCAGTGTGTGATTGTCAGTATGAATGGGTGAATGTCTGTAAGTGTAAAGTGCTTTGAGTGTCCTGGATGGATAGAAAGGTGTTATATAAGTACGGTCCATTTACAATTTACATTTACCATAAAACTCAGGCTTTGGTTATCCCGTGTTAATGTGTCACATAAAAAGCAGATGTCAGGGAGTAATTTATTTATTACATGGGGACGGGTCCCCAGATAATACTACCACATTTCACAGCGTGAGCTTAATTACTCCTTCCAATGTGTGCTGAGGAAGATTCTCAGCTATTAACCAATGAAACGGTTGCTCAGTATGTGAAAGTTAAACCTGGAGAAACCTTCTCCTCACCTTGTCTCCCAGGTACTTGTTAGGTGCGTGCCAGTGGAGGTCCTGGTAGACATCAGGAACGTCACTGAGGTCAGCCTCCACAAGGTCCTGATCAGGGTACACCGTGACCGGGACCTCCTGTCTGTCTGCTCCCAGCAGAACCCAGCCCTCCATGTCCATGATCTACAACACATGATGAGAGAAAAACAGACCTGCTGACCAGAACTCAGTCTGTCAGAGCCTTCTGCACTTCACACATCTGCACAATATAACCCTAAAGCTGTTAGTGAAGGACTTCCATCATCTTTATTCACGCTGAGAAATGAAACCACAGCACTTCCTGCTGGGACATGAGGATGATAAAAAGAATAGAAGCCTTTGGACTGCTTTTTTATTTCAAATATGCTGTTAATCCTGTTATTTATACACCTAACAATAGTTAATAAAATCAGTCCAGTGGTTCCAGATGGATTTCATTAGCTGTGTCCAAAATGGCAGGCCAGATCCTCCGAAGGACCCAGCCTAGCCGGTCAAGGTGGGCTGCTGGGTCCTTGTTAGACTACGACGACTGGAAAAAAGTGTTTGTGAATTTGGATGGTCTAGCCTTCCTTCCTTACCCCGGCGTAAGTCATGTCACCTAGCAACAGTGATGACGCTAAACAGAAGCAAAATTAGATCGAAAGTAGAAAAATATCAATATGTCAGCATTTTTAACATCACAAAACAATAAAATTAACTTAAAGGTAATATTTGAAGAACTAACATAGGTGCATGTTTATTTCGCTATATAAGTTTGTTTTTTCCTGACAAAAATAATATTTAAAAACACGTCTATACAAATGACAAAAGTATTAACAACACAACTGCTTGAAATTTTTCATTTTTATACCGCCATATTTTTATTTAAAATGTATTCTTTTCATCTTCTTTCGTCTCTTCGTCCACCATTACTAGCATAAAAAAACTCTGGTTGGCCCGTAATGCATTATGGGCAGTGGTGGGCAGCGTTAATCCAAAATTTAGCTCCGCAATTTGTAAAGCGCTTATAAAAATATTTAGGTTCGCAACTTCAAAAGCGCTCATGCTAGCGGAAGCTAATTTTAAAGCGCAAGGTCAATTTGACACTTACTACCTGGCAACAATTCATGTACAATATATGAACAACACTGCCAACTAGCGGTGTCTGAATGAACTCTTTTACAACTTAATTCTACAACCGCCGATTGTTGGGGATGTGATTTCCTGAAATAGACCTTTAGTTCCTGGTGTAAAAATTAAAAAGTTGTTGAGGATTGCTAGTTCGGCTGATTCTTTAAAAAGTTGTTGAGGATTGCTAGTTCGGCTGATTCTTTAAAAAGTTGTTGAGGATTGCTAGTTCGGCTGCTTCTTTGTCCTTTTCTTTTGTTTGTTGTAGATTTTTCATTAAATAAGCATCAAAAAAGTAATTGTAAAACTGTTTATTGGAAAACTAAAGCAATGCATTCTGGGTACATGATGGATTTGATTTGTGACGGGAAATGAAAGCACGGAGAACAAGAAACTATCTTCCCTTCAAAATAAGAGCTTGGATTTTAAAGTTTTCCATGTAGTTGCTCCAGYTGACCACTAGATGTCAGTCTTCATCAGCATAACATCTTTAAATTATTTCTGAGTCTCTAATTGGCCGATTGCTTCGACCAATTACGTCAAGTATTGAGCTCCAGCGTTTAAACTTTATTTATTTTTTAAAAAGGAGCTCCGAGTGTAAAGTAAAATAAATCAATACATACAAAATTTTAGTATGGATTACCAACGTTAACTGTTTTTGCTATTGCCTTCCTGCTACGTAAGCAGACACAAAGCATTGTGGGAAATCAGAACCTTGACCGAATGCAACAGTCAGCARGGATGTATACCTTCTCAATAAGTGTTTTTATCTGGGAGGGGTGCTGTTGGATAGATCACGTGTGTTGTCATTCATTGACAGCCATACATTCCACTGTTCAAGATAATGATGACTCGTAGATAATTAGTTATTAGCGGTACTGCATTTTAATTTAAGAAAGCACAAGTCCGCTTGTGAATTATAAAAATTAGTAAGACCGTAAAAGCGCAAACAAAATATTTAGGTCCACAATTAGCGTATTTGCGCTTTAGCGGGCTGGTGCCCACCACTGATTATGGGATATGGTGGGCCGGGAAGGATCCATTGGACCAGTCCTTTGATTCGAGCCAAAGGAAGGATGCATTTGTCGGCCACATCGGAGGTGTCTTTGGTTTTGGACRGCCTTCGTCGCGGCGCTGTGACGTAAGCGACCGACAAATTCGGCCTTCGGAGGACCGGCCTCTCGTTTTGGACACAGCCAGTGTTAGATGTAACTCCAGTCATTTCTTTCTCAATGAAACATGATCAGATGTTGTTACAGAAAGAACTTTCGCTTTGGCCTTTCAGCAGCAGAGGATAAACAAACAAACAATGAAAACATCCAACAGGTGTACCTCTGTGCGTCTTTTGTTGGAGCTGTGGCAGCGATCTGTGGCTCCAAAACAAAAGCAGCTGGTGCAGCCTTTAGGGTTGGTTGGGTCCAAGTGAAATGTACCGATCCTGCACTGATCGCATCGAGAACCCTGGACGTTCTCCTGCAGGTGGAGAGTACAGCCAGGTAAGGCATACGACCAGGTGAAGGTGTTCACAGTGTGTGTGTACTTGTTTTTACTACAGAGTGAGGACCAGTTGCACCATACTTACTAACAAAGTCTTTGATGTAAAGTGAGGACCTCTTCAATGTCCTCACTTTGTTTACAGCTTTGCTGTGCTTCACTAGTTAGGTTTAGAGGTATGTTGTGAATTAAGTTTTGGTTCAGGTTAGGGTTAACTACAGACCAGTAATGGTTACTTTTAGAGAAAAAGTCTGGGTTAGGCGTAAATACAGTTATAAAAATTAATGTAAGTCAATACAAAGTCCGCAATTTGATGCAAATACAAGGATGTGTGTGTGTGTGTGTGTGTGTGTGTGCATTAACCTTGCAGAGACACTGCCCTGTGAAGGAGTCACACACGCCCTCCTCTGTTCCCGCTTCGTTACAGTCACATGGCCTACAGTTGGGGTAACCATAGAAACCAGGGGCGCAGTGGTCGCACCGGCGACCGACAACATTGTTCTTACAGCTGAAAAAAAAAAGAAAGCCTCCTGTTAATCATTCAGCAAATAACATGACCAAACAATCTGTAAGGATAAATCAGGGCTCGTACCAACACTGCTGTCAAATTAGCTCCAGTTTCAGCTGAAAGTTACTTTAAGCTGAGTTTTATTGTTCCATTATTGTTCAGCTTCTGTCTTTTATGCTTATAAATAAATAAAACACACCCCTTCATCTTATTGTTCCATAGTTTCCTAACAGAGTACTTGGCTCTCAGACTGCAGGTTTACTTGTGATTTCTAGAGTTCCTAAAAGAAGAATGGGAGGCAGAGCTTTCAGTTATCAAGCTCCTCTCTTGTGGAACCAACTTCCAGTTTCTGTGAGGCTGAAGAATGAAGACTTTATAAGCCTGGCGGGCAGCCAGGCTATTCATGCCTCCCCGCCAGGTTAAGCTTTTTTTTGTGCTATAAAAAAATCCTCCATACATCCTGTCCTTCTTCCTAATCAGAGTCAGGGTGGGAGCTGGAGTCTGTCTCAGCAGCCTTTGGGTGAACGCAGAGGACACCTGGACAGGTCTCCAGTCCATCACAGGGACACAGAGAGACAAACAAGTATCCACCCTTCCAGTCATGCTAGAGTCACACAGAGAGCTCCAGAAGGTTTTAAAACTAACTCTGAGATCTGAGTTGTAATCACTTATTATTAAAACCTATTTATCATATCAACCATTGCCCATTATTATTGATCTTTTTTGTGAGGAGTTTTTAACATATACTGTATATACACATTATACATTTATTATTATTAATACTATAATTAAAGGTGAGCCATGTAAATTTATATTTGTATCAAACAAGTAGTCCTTTGTGTTACTCTGTAACCCTGAAGTAGCTCTCTGCCAAGGTTGGTGATCCCCACTATAGTTGGTGTTTAACTATTGTAAAGAAATGTTTTACAATAACAYGTAATTACATTACATTATGTCTTATTTTCAAATTTCTTGCCATGTCTTGTCTTGTCATTTTTTATGGCTGTTGGTGGGCTGCCAAAGTGGTCCTACCACCGGGGTTAGCCAGTTTTCTGGGGGAAACCCTGAATCCTAATAGTTAAGACTTAGGTTTCCTGAATTATTCCTTAGTTCTGCTGCTATAGACATATATTATCGGTATAAAACCAAAGTGCTGAATAAAACCAGCCCATGTAAAATAAAAATAAAAAAGTAGGAAGTGAACTTGGATCATAGTGTGAGGTTCTGATTAGCGATGCAAGTTATCGATTAATGAATTCATCTAAAGTTGATTGAACTTATCGATTGACTAACGATTAATTGATAAGTGGCCATTTTCTTAAAAACCTGACATTTCTCTTGAATCAAGGGTTTTTTATAACATGAAGGGCTAATTCTTTAAACACTAAATAAAAAAAGTAAAGTATTATATTTTATAAAATTTATTGGGCCAGCTGTATTTCACACTGACTGAACAAAACAGAAAATTGTGAATTTCACACACATTATTAAATTTGGAAATGTTTATAAAATATAACAAAACACGAATTTATTAGGTTACTAGTTTGAAAAAAGGAAACAAAAAAGTACAACACTTAATCCACCCTGAACAGAGACATGTAAAACTAACATTTAAACACAGGGTAACATTTTAATCGAAAGATTTACTCAAAAACAAACTATAAACATAAAATATCTCTGAGAGGGGTAAATATACAAATGAGTACATACTGGAACTGTGTTTGTTTACATTCCCTGTGGTTTTATCTGGGCTGATGTTAATTTGATTTGTTCACTGACCGGGTTATGTCACACAGGTGAGATTAACTTCATGTTAATGATTTGTAGTGACTAACTCTTTTTGTTTTGTTTTTATCACAGAAAATTAGCTCTACAAGAAGAAGCTAACAGCTAAAGTTAGCACACCATTCAATTGTCCTGCTCTCTTGTTTTAAGCGTCATACTGCTGAATACACCATTACAGCTTTCTGTACTTTTTCTTTGAGTTMGGTGTAGTCCATTATTAYTGTGTCGCAAATAAAACTAAACAAGATTTATGCGTTTAATTATAACGCTGCTCTCTGCTCAGCTCAACAAGGCCGTGGTAGAGTATTATGCTACGTTCATGCGCGTCTGAAGAGGGAGGAGCGTCTTGGTTTTTTCCGGTCTGTCTTCGGTGGATGAAATAAAGATAAAATATAGAAAATGGCTTTGCTTTATTTACTAAAGAGCAAGCGAATGTTGCGCACACCAGATAATTATTTCAATAGATGATTTAGAGGCGGTTTGTTCGGTTAGTTTCATCACTCCAGGAGCTGCGAGCTGACGGACTGTTTTTCGTCCCGAGCCCAGTTTAACACCGCGGTCAGTTTAACGAGCTGCTGACCCACATCRGTGCTGATATCTCCAGCCAGAACATCAACTGCAGATGGTCGATTTCARCTAAAGAACTCCTGTCCGTCTGTTTCAATTTAGTGGGCAACATTCAGGAAACTGTCACGTGGAAAAATGAGTCTCTCTGATTGGTTGTCAAGACGCATCGAGTGGCGAAAGATCAGACTTTTGAACTCGGGCGTCGGCTGCTTTCGCCGCACCACATGCACGGAAAATGCTCTGCCGCACCTTCTGCGCTCCTTGCACGAAGCTCTAAACGGACCTGATGCGCCGCAAGACCCCTAGAGGTGCATCCACCATGTAAACTGGCTGCTCCTGCAGCTCAAAACACATTCGATGTGAACGCACCTTTAGTGGTAGAGGCCAGGCTGAGAGCAGCGTCGCCATCTACTGGATGAAGGCAAAACTACACTGAAATAAGGTTTAAACATATGTTTTCAATTAATAAAATAGAAGGAGTTTTAATGTAATAAATCATTATGTGACGATTAATCGTAAGTAAATTAGTTGTTTGCATCCCTAGCTCTGATGTGTCATGGCTGCTTCCTTCATGGTGACGTACCTGCACTGTCCGCTGAACGTGTCACAGCTCACGTCAGAGGAGACCACTCCGGGATGAGAGCAGTTGCAGACCTCGCAGCCCACCAGTGGGTGGCAGCCGAACGTCTGAGGTTCACACTGGGTGCATTCGGGGCGCAATGTCCTGGGAGGACAGATGCAGTCCCCTGTGACGGGCTCACACAGCCTCGGACCACAGTTACACGCTGCGCAACAAGAAATACAGGAAACAGAAAAGCAACGGGTGCTTAGAACTTCAGAAGAAAAAAAACACTTCAGAGACAAATGACCCTCACACCCAGGGACAATTTAGACCAATAAACCTTATGAAAGTTCTTGGTCTGTGGGAGGGACCTGGAGTACACAAAGAAAACCCACTTCTGCACTGGAAGAACATAAACTCCACCCAAAGAGGTGGGGCTTAAAAATCTTCATCCTCCCTGATTTTTTGTGAGAACTTTTTTGTGACCGACCAACACAACAGATTAAATCTTAACAGTGTGGAGTGCATTAGTATTCATCATAACGCTTTAATAAGTCAGTTTGCAGTTGCTAAGGAGTCCTGTAGGAACCAGATGAATGTCAAAACCTAAAACCTGACCCTACACACGCTCTCCATCCAGTCTGACTGAGCTGCAGCTGTTTTACAAAGAAGCACCGACTCAGGGGGTGAATATTAATGCACATCAAACAGTCCAATTATTACTAAAGCTCTGTGTCGGTCTGTCTCATAAATCCCAATCTAATATTTTAAAGTTTGTTGTCTACACCAAGATTATAATAGTTTTGGATTTTTCCTTATAGTTTAGTTTTATTTCGTTATGACTTTTTTCTTTTAATTCAGTTAGCTTTATTTAGTTTCTAGCGTGGTTTTGCTAGTTTTTATTAGTTATTATTGCATTTTTAATGCTTAGTTTTAGTTTAGTTTAGTTTTTATTAGTTCTAGTATTAGTTTTTTCCAATGCATCCTCAAGCTTGTGATGCTCCTGTGAGTTACTAACCAACAGCTATTTGGTCACTATTAAACCAGT